ATTTTCGGATGATAGGTCTTGCATGCAACTCTTTTCAGATTCATTCCTTTAAAAACTTGTTGGAATTGGGATTATGTTGTTTTTCTGGAAGTTATTCAAAGATGGCGGTTTTTGTGATAAAATCTTTTAATTCTTGGAAATAATGAGCCTACATGCAATCGGTGATGAAGGCGTGTGGCTCAAGAATTGTGGATTAATCTTGAAAAGAGTGTTAAATCCACTCAAAATCTCTTGGTTTTGGTAATTGGTGGTTGCCATCATTTGTTTTAAGATGACATCTAATGACGTCATTACTTGGATTTTGGAAATTTTTTGTTTATTAAATAATTAAAACGGCTTTAATTTATGAAAATACTTGATGGCTTTGTATTGGGACCAACTTTGCCCTACCTAAGTCAAGGAAACCATTAAGTTAATTTAGCGCTGGTTGGTCTGTCAGGAGGTTCGAGAAAGCATAGCAAGTCCATAAGGAATCGTTCGGATATTCGCCAAATTTGTGAGTTCTCACGGCCCCACTTTTAATGCTTTTTATATGTTTTATGGGGGAAAAGCATGATATTGAGCAAACTTTGCATGTTACATTTTATGATACTTGTGACTAAAGAACTGTTTAGTCGATGCTTTGATTGAAATATCTTGGGCTAAGGAACTGCTTAGTCAAGTTTTACTTGGAACCTCTTGGGCTAAGGAACTGCTTAGTCGGGTTTATTACGATTGGTTTTGAAAACTGTTTCTACACTTAGGATAAATGCTAAATTGATGCGCTTGAGAGTATATGTTTCCAAATAAAAGTCCCCGTCCGTACACGCTACTTGTTAACTCGGGTACATTCCCGTGCCGTGGTATTGTGGATAGCCGCTATTGTGTTGACAGTCCCACCCAGAAAGGGGTGCACAATTACCTATGTTTTCTAGCCTAATCATGTGGAATTTAGACCACCGCTGAATTAGTGCTTTACCGAACCGTGGGACCAGAGTAGTGAACGGGCTACTTCTGGTTGTTCGAAAATTAATGGGGCATATTGGTCAGGTAAGGCTCAGTAGCGTCTCAAGTGTTTCATGCGAAGGATTTACATTTATTAAGTGCAAAGAATTCGTATAAGTTTGCTATTACTTGGTTTATGCATTGAAATGTTTTTGTGCATGTGTAAAACCCGTGAGCTCACCAACTCTTTGTAGTTGACCTTGTTTTTATTCCATGCTTTTCAGGTTATGAGTAAGTGATTGGTTTTTAAGGAAGCATACCTGGGCCAAGATAGATTAAGTCAAATTTTTGATGTAATTATGAACGATGTGTATTATTCTAACTCTCGTTATGTCGATAAATCATTTTGTTTTGAAACTTGTAATGGTGTTATTTATAAACTGTTGCTATGACCCGCTTGTCTGTTAGCATCCCGTGTTTCCGCTTTAGCGGGGTGTGACATTATTTTCTTAAAAACCTCTAAAATTATGATTTTGATATAGAAGCACTTATCAATGGATACAGAGCCTCTAGTCTAATAACGGGGACCAACCAGAGCCCCTCTGGTTCCTTGCAAGGAACAACCAGAGTCCCTCTGATTCCTCATAAAAATGAACATTCTGTTCCAAAACATTTTAAACCAATACCAGTGGCCATAGGCCAAGTTTTCCCTTCTCAATAACGTCAATACTATTATTTCTAATAAGAACAATATATTTGAGTTCTCAAATCACAAAGAAGTAAGGACTCAAATCCATTGTAGTCTTAAAAGATATAATAGTAAGAGTTATAATATTCACACACAATTTCCACCCTTATATTCAAAGGTACACCTCTCCTTGAAATGCCACCCTTATTCCAAAAGATACCTCTCCTTGATATGCCATCCTTATTCCAAAAGACACCTCTCCTTAATATGTCACCCATATTTTTTCATCAAAATCTATGAACTAGTTCGGATGAAGGACCGTAGTCACAACCATCTTATCGAAACCTCATTCATAGTTTATTCCCTAAAATTTATAGATTAATTCTAAATGAAGACTGATCAAAATCACAATTGTCTCAAAAGAATATTCTCTATAGTTTTCAACCAACAGTTTTATCATTAAAACCTTTCAAACTCAAGAACAATCTATTCATTCAATGATTTCCAAAACATCATATCCCTTTTAAATCCGCAAAAGAGGATATCATTTCCCAAACTGTTGTAAAGAAGCACTCTCTTCTTTATCTTTCCCAAAACAGTTTTTAATACTCAAATATATAACAATAACACCTTTAAACTATCAAAATAGTTATACCATCTTTTCTTCAAAACCAATATCAAAACCCAACATTTTATATAACAAAATATATAAAGGTTTTAGTCATCAAAAACTCACCTTAATGATCACAGATTCAGCAGAATATAAACACACAACAGATCTTTAGTTAGCACAGAATCTTCAAATCACCTTTGTGTATTGATCTTTCTCAAGAACTCTTTCACCGTCACACACTTTCTTTTTCTCCAAAAAAGTTCCTTTCTCCAAAAAAATCAAGATAAGGTATGATCTTATCTTTTTCCTTCTTTATATATTTTTCTAACAAAGGCGATGTGAAAGCTTTAACCAATAAAGGTAATTTAGGTGGTGGGTTTTTCATTATAAAATTCATGATTTCTTAACCATGAAGGTATTAATTTTTACATATTATAATAATGTTTTTACCAGAATATCTTATCACATATAGGCACCACCTCATCTATGCTTCACCCCACATGCATACATGTATAAATTATATATGTCATGTTGTCTTTTCACATATATACATGCACAATATCATGTTCATATTTCACATATATAGC